CTTGATCAAGCCACTGCCGATGCTATAGGCGATGGGATGCCGTGCACCTGAGCCTGGCACACACTGTCAGTTCTTAGGCAATCTAATGCAAAGCAAGCATTTTTCTTATTGTTTTTTTCATTTTCACTTATTTGATTACACATATTGAGTTGTATTGGAACACTGGTAATATGGTGTGGACTCAGAAGATAAAACACGCATTCAACAGAAAAGATTATGATACTTAGAGACACCATGAGGCCTACTGCTCAGCATTATACTTAAAGACTAATGAAACACAGATCTACATGATAAAACAATAGAAAGTTAAACTGATATATATAATAGCATAAGCATATCTAAATACAGAGAAGTTAATAGTTAGAACAAAATATATATCTAAAGTCATAACTGCATAATTTTTTTTTTTTTTTTTTTTTTTTTTTTTTTAATAACTAATAAGCTACTTCCAAGTTGAAACAAAAAAACAAGAGATCTGAAATAACAGCAACACACAAATAAATATATCTTATACAATCAGACCAATAAGAGGATAGAAAGAGAGAGTACACAAATGAGTGTATGAGCAAGACAGGAGTGTAAGTGAGTGAGAGTAGGAGTATGAGCGCGAGTGCCTGGTCCTTTGAACAAAGCTGTATAACTCGTCAGGAATTCCCATTTCTTGAAGACACCCACAATAAAGGGAAACTGCATTCATTGTATTCAGACAATAAGCTCTAAAAGCTAGGTTTATATTAACTGAAACTTAATACCATCCAAGTTATTGTATTCTTATTTTTTGCTTATTAGTGCTTTAGTTTCACAGATTTATTCATGTATTCCTTTGTGATTTTGCTTTTATTAGCTGACTTGATTTTTGTTTGATTCATTTGTATATCTTGGTATTATATTATATTCCAGCAGAATAGGCTTTTTAAGGCTTATAGGTTATTGTACATGAAAATTTTAAATCATAATGTTTGTACAAATATTCAGATTTGAAAAGAAAATGAAATATAGTTCAGTAATTTTTCTTCCTTCTGATTGGATGAATATTTCTTTTAGCACAAACTGAAAAAGGTCCTTGCTAATTCAGTCAGTAATTTCTTTCATCTTTTATATGGGAAAACACTATCATGTATTTACATGCATTTTTTTTTCTAATTCAATACCAATTCCAGAGTTTATTACATATATTGTAGATTTTTAATTTTTAATTTATAGCAGTTATATCAAAATATACCTCATATTTGGTTCACATACATCTTTCAAGCTAAGCATTTATATACTGCTGGTATACATTACCAAAAGAAGAAAAACTTAAATGTACAATATAAATAATAAATTATATTCTATAACTGTTTTTTCCAACCATGTTTTGGCAATTCATATTTCAATATCTTCTATTCTGTCTTTTTTACAAGGAGCCCAGATATTTTTTAGACAGACTGATATTCTATTAAAAAAAAAAAAGTACTATTATCTCTTGGTGGTCAATTTGTCCACAATTTCATCCAATTTCATCAAGGGAAATTAACTTTACATTTCTCATCATAAATTAAATTGTTCCAAGCACTTTTGCCATGAAAGTGAATTTGATAATGTGAAAAACATATGATAAACATATGTAACCATTTTCCTTCAAAATACAATGATAAATATATATATATACGATAAGAAATACTCTTTATTGCTGATCAATGAAATATCCAATCATCATGATAACATGGGAAATACACAATAACAATGACATAGTACTGTCCTAAATGGTTTCATATCATATGATATGTTACATCTCATCAGGTATTTAATGGCTCAATTAAGTATACATTGAAAAGACACCAAACAGATTCACAGAATTTACAACTAAACGTGATTTTCATTAAAGTCTGTAAAGGCAAGTTCTTTGGACTGTTATGTATATTTTTCCTCTTTACAAAAGTGCCTTGGAAGATTTTTACTATTAGTATCCCAGAAACACCAGGTCTATATGTTTTGGGACATGAAATGGCAGAAGTGATTATACAACTCCTTTCAATGAAAAACTCTAGTATTTTAGAGCACAATTATTCTCTCTTAAATATAGTTATGTTACCATTGTGTGACATGCTTTTTTAATAAAACAGTGATAAGAAGTCAAAAGCAATTGTTGCTCTATGACACTTTTAAATCTTCAGCCAAAACTGTCAGGGGTGGCATATACATACATGTCATGCCCACTTTGAGTTTTGTTTATCAACTGTCTTTACTCATAAATGGCTCCTCAAGTACGAAGTCACCAATGAGCCAGTTACGAGTACTATCTCACCTGTTTACCATTTTTTTTTTTTTTTTTTTTTTTTTTGGGGGGGGGCATTTTATATTGTAGCTATTAATCTCAGTAACATTAAAATAAATTTAATATTTATAATAACAAAAGCATCAATATTTATAGCATAAGTAAAACATTTGTTATTCCTGCAAATTCATGGAAAGGTGAAATTTGGTGAGGTTACAAGGTCTACTAATTGAGTCTTTGTGTATAAGCAATAGTAGAGCCATCCATGTAGAGAGACAGTTCACAAAATAATATTATAGTGAACGCAACATTTTCCCTACGTCAATGGGTTAGCCCTTGGCCGATGGGTGACATGTACGTACATACCATGGCTGTTGTGGACCAAAACACGGATGGCACTGTATTATGCCCATTCCCACGCCACTGGCTCATCGGACGGAGTTTGTTTTATATGGTAAAGATTTTAGGCGATGGCACCTATAATGAAGGTAAACCTTCAAAATGTTAATATTTTTATAAATTATAGCAAAATAAAGCTTTTAGGTGCTAAATGTCGCTTGCAAACTACCGATCGAGCCGGGCGCAAACTGGGGAAACTGCTGATGTGCGCCAACAATTCTTACGTCCATTTGCCAAACATTTTTATCTGTCGGCACTGGGTTAAGAGAATATTAGTCTATTCCAAAACGTTTTGAACATTTAACCCAGGAGACATTTATTCTTGCCATGATGTACTGAGCCCGTATGGTATGTATCCAGCTGAGCCTACTCTATTGTACATGCTAAAGGCCCCTTAATTTTCATTTATGAAGCTGACTGTGTGATGTACTTGGCTCTTTATAGTTTGGATAAAAGCTACTGTCTGCCTTAGGGTTAATAAGGCAAATCATGCAACATCAATATGTAAAAAAATCATTTACAGAACAGTGACACATATTGTACAGTAATGTTAACTTAATGACAAGAACTTAGAATATCAGTAAGATGTAAATTCAAGATGACTGCAGAAGTCAAACAGCTGGTTATTTTCTTTTAAAAATTTAATATTTTTTCCATACAAGTTTTTTTGTAATAATGTTGACAAGACTAAAGTAAACAGTACAGTATATTTCCTTTCCTTCTGAATGAGCCAATCATACATTATACTGTTCTGCAAAATAAACCAAATTTGCCTCTCCTATTCTGTATACACACTCTCACTATATACAATTGTTTTCTCTTTCTATTCCAAAAACCAAATTATTTCCTTTTAAATAATTTCAACCCTTTTCACCTCAGGTATGGTTTCTTTTTCACATGCTGCCAGTGCTCCTTCTCAGCATGTGTCTTCAGTTTTCCTTCAAGTTCCTGAATTTTTTCTTCATGATGTTTCTGCAACATAAGTAGAGGAAAAATTTCAAGACAAAAAGAAGAAAAAAAGAGCACTTGCATGTATGAATACAAGTATCCACAAAAACAAGAACCTACATAAACATAAAAAAAACATACAAATGTACGCATAAACACACACACATTGGAAAGCAAGTATACTCATGCATTTATTCATATTTACTCATAAGCAATATATAATCACATATAAATATTTATAAATACAAATTTCCCAACTCTACTGCTCCATTACCATGTCAAGGAGGTAAGGGACCCATGTATATGCCAAAGTGGGGTGTTGTTAAGAAGTTGACCTAGAAATACTCTACATCCCAACTATTGCAAATAGGAAACCAGGAGTGATAAATTTCATACACTACTTTGATGCAAAAAAAGTCTTTGCAGAAGACTATGGTAAAAAGTGAAAAATACATGTAAAAGTGCCCCATGTACTTACTTTTACAAAGAGGAAGCCATGTCTCATAGAGGCAGCTAGATGCAAGGTGCGAACAACCACAGGCTGGTTGAGTATAGTCTTGATGTGTGGCAGTGCCATTGCAATTAACTGGTGAGGACCTCTGGTTGAACTTATGAAGGCTATCAGAGTATCTGCATTGCAATATTTGACTGTAACAAGAAAAGTTGAGATTAAAATATGCAATCATGATACAAGGCTGATAAAATTACCTATCTGCTCGAAGAAAAAAATAAATAAATAAATAAACTTAAAAACTTGTAAAGATATAATCATAGACTTAAATGTTATCAACAACAGCAATTATGTCAAAAACAATTACCATATCAAACAATGAAAAAAGAATCACCAAATAATAAAAGTCACATACTTTGAAAGCCTAAAGTTGTTGCAGCAACACCAAAGTCCCCATGTAGCCTTCTTACTGTATCTACTATAGCATTCTTCAGTCCATACCAGGTAAGGTCCAAGGACTTCTCTGGCACTACTTCAACCACAAAATATCTGTAATATAACTTGTATTAGACATATGTGCTTATCAATAACTAGGTTCCTTTCCAATGGCTACTGGAATATTTCTAAGCAGCAAAAGCTGGCAGCAGAGACATTAAGAATATACACAAATCTTATGTCACAAGTTGTCCTCTAATTAGGTGAAGGTATGTGAAACAAATAAAGAAAATATAGCATTGAGAGGAAATATGTTTGAGAGGAAAATTCTTGAACCTAGGACCACATCATCTGAAAAAAATCCAAAGATTTTCTTAGGATAGTCTTCATGCCTTTGACATCTCAGCAAGAACCAACAAACCTTTACCAAATATATCTGGCAAGATAAAGGTCAGACTGGTTCTTTTTTGATGGCAAATCATTTGGATGGTTTAACAGTTGTCTTGCCTGGATATATACAGTGGAGGTAAATTGTCCTTTCTCTAAAATGCCAAAGGCAGAATAACCATAAGTGATGGGGTAATATTTTTGTCTCACATAGCCATCCCAAATCACTGGTCCAGGAAATTAGTGAAAGTTTCATAATTATTTGAGAAGCATCCTTTAATGAATAAGTCCCTATCAATCTAGCCACTAACCTTAGAGGCACTCCTGGGAATCCACAAACATCGCCATGTGACCTAAAAGCCTTCCTAACTCTCATCCTATTGCAGTATTTCCCAGGCCCATACCCAATTTACCAAAGACTTTGTATCCATGTGTCATTTGTCACAACTTATGGGTCAGTGGGTGTATTCTTTCCCTCTCTTTACCGACAGTATTCTTATATATTCCCTATCGTAGTGCAGGTATTATATAACTGTATAAAAAGTATTACTTGTGTTTTACATCTTCCTTATTATCAACAAGCAAAGGAAATGACACAGGTGATGTGTCATTAATTTTGAAACAAACTATTCCAGTGATTTTCAGTGCAAGTTCACTCCCTGCAGATAATGCTCTTAAGTCAGTAGTGCTATTTCATGTGTGCAGGTGATCAAGTTTTAATAAACCTTTCTATATCATATCCATTTACTTGAATAGTTCTTGCAGAAATTACGAGAACACTAAACAACTGATACCCACCACCCTTGAAAATAAGAAAAATGCCGGGTTCCCCGAAGACTTTCGCAAGGATAGGAAGAGGACAACAAAAGAATATCGGATATTCTACTTGCTTCAAAATGTAACCGAAAAATACATTGCCGATGAAACCGACATTTCTCAGACTATTAATTCACCAATGAATAGGAAAAAACGACAAAAAAGAATCTTACCTTCGTTTGCATCTAACCATTGTGAATATCAGTAAGGAAACTGCACTCTGCTTCTAAATTCAACTCTGCATCAACTTTTTCCACTTAAATATGAGTTCAACTTCTCTAAGGAGTACAATCACAAATAAAAGATCTTATAAACCACCAATGAAAGGAACAAAATCGTGTATAGCGTAACGCACGGCCTTCCTACGGCCTTCCCTCACGTGCGGTTGAATCTGAATGTAAACAAACCGAGGTGATGTTACCATGGATACGCACTAGCTTGCGAATGATTTTGGCAGAAAACTACTTTATCATTACCAAACAAACACCATTCCCGTATTCTTAAATAAATACCATATATGTTACTATAAAACTTGTATGATTTTTTATTTGGAATCATTCGTTGGTTCACCTAATATTTTTATACCAAAATATTTTGAAATTAGGTTGTGTTTGCGACGGAACGCAGTTGAATTCTAGACTTGAAAGAGATTGCTCCAACTTGTCATGCTGTGATCTAGTGAAGTTAAAGGTAAAATATTTATTGTGGTTGTTACCGTTATTTTTATTGTGAAATAATTGTTGGGTCAGCTAAATTACAGATCCCTTGTTATCTTTCCTTTAGGCGAAAAAGTTAAATTCCTGCATAGGTTACATACATAACTGCCCATGGCAACAGACTGCTAATGCATTTTTTTAAGAAGTAATTTTGGGAAATAAATGAAATCCAAACAAAGAACTTTCCACAGATCTACAAGATTTCTTTTATCCAAAATTAATATGTTAATTTGTAATTTACTTTTTATTTCAGCTCACAAATGTTCACAATTGCCAACGAGAATAGATATTTCAGTCTATTAATCAACCTCCATGTTGCTACCAGGAATGTGGTCATGAATTCTGTATATTTACTTACAATTTCACTGACACCTATCATCGGAAAATCAATATGGTTTTCTTTCGAGCACTTGCTTTCTTGAGGATGAATTTAAGTTCTATTCCTTCCATTTGTTCAGAGAGATCATAGTTTTTTTATTATTACTATTACCATTTTTTTTTCTTTTTTTTTTTTTTACTTGCGATAAGAAATAAATCCGTTTCTACATTTCCATTGTTTCGCTTCTGTCTCTCTCTCTCTTGTATCACTCTCTCACTCTCTGTATCACTCTCTCTCTCTCATCTCTCTCTCTCTCTCTCTCTCTCTCTCTCTCTCTCTCTCTCTCTCTCTCTCTCTCTCTCTCTCTCTCTCTCTCTCTCTCTCTCTCTCTCTCTCTCTAACCATTATCAATTTTCTTATCGTTATTATTGTTCTCTTGTATTATCATCATTGTTAATGTTTTTTATTTACTATCATCACGATTAATATCATTATTATTACTATTATCATCATTAGTAGTGTTATAGAGATTGTGATTCTTATCAATTCCGATTTTATTATCTTAGCATTATCATAATCATCCTTATTGTCATCATCAACGTTATCATCTCCGTCACTGTTTTTCTTTCGTTTTTATCATACGATTGTCGTTATCTTTAGGATTATTATCATTATCGTTATCAGGGTAAAATTACTAGTAGTGGTTTGAAATTATTATCAGTATTATTATTATAACCACTGACTATCAATATTGGTGTTATCATTACTGTGTAATTAGTTATTATCGTTATCACTGTCATTGTTACCATTAGCTTTTGTAGTTGTTATAATAATCATCAATATCATTACCATTTTTATCATTATGACCATCGATTATTACTATCTTATCATTCTTATTACTACCATTTCTATTAAAAAAACCTTATCACTATCCTTATGGGTATTATCATTACATGATTTATATTTCTTTATTAATACCACTATTGCTCTTACTCATTCTTATTCTGAACCCTCAATCTTTTTATCATCGTCACAGATACTCTCCTGTTTTCATATTATCCTTATTCATATTAAAGATAATGTCTAAAAAAAAACTGCATTACGCGAGGGAAAAGGACGAAACACAAAATCCTATCATTGACCTTCGTCTATGCTTTTTACACCTAGTTTATTCTTCACTTCAAGTTCGTGTCAAAGCCGACCTTTGAAGACCTATTCCGAGTCACTGGAAAACGTATTTTTTCTGTCTTATGTTGGTGGAAGTCAAGGAGGAGGAAGTTTTTGTGTGTGTGTGTGTGTTTGTGTATGTATAGACGTATGTGTGTGTGTGTGTGTGTGTGTGTGTGTGTTGTGTGTGTGTGTGGTGTTGTGTGTGTGTGTGTGTGTGTGCGTGTGTGTGTGTGTGTGTGGTGCTGTGTGTGTGTGTGTGTGTGTGTGTGTGTGTGTGTGTGTGTGTGGTGTGTGTGTGTGTGTGTGTGTGTGTGTGTGTGTATGCGTGCGTCTGTGTACGTCTGTGTGTGGATATGTGTGCTTAGATAAATTAGTCCTGTTTGTATGGTGGTATTCTTCAGGTTTCTATCAGGGTTAACTTCATAACTTTTAAATTAATTCTGTTATTCTTCCAAGCGGAGAACTGCCCTTTGGTCGTTTATCTTAGTGTTTTCTTACCATCTTGGTAGGTCAAATCTTATCAAATATCTCCGAATTACCAGACAGCACTTTATTACAGTATAAACACTAATCTTGTATTCATTTTGCAATACTATAGCATGTTGAAAACGGACAGAAATTTCTCTATATATTTTATATGTTCTATCATATACTGTAGCATTAGACTTGATAATTATGAAGGAAATGGGTAAATAAAAAATGCAACTGATTAGTTCTTTCAACGTCAGAGTAGATGTTTTAGTTTAGTTTAGTCCTTTATTTACCACCTGGCTAACTGCAAGGCGGGCAACTGTAGTACATTTGATATGGTCAGAGCTTACAGAATAAATCTATATCATAAATTATTACGGTCTTATATTTATCAGTAATTTATCTACTCATCTGTCAAGCATACGCTTGGCGTAAACATTTGATATGTGGTCATATGATACTACACAAATTTAGATTATCTTCAGATATATGAATAGTTACATAGTTCTCCATACCTCATGCTAGGTGGTCTGAAAGGCTGTATTACATGGCACCTGAGATATAATGTACAACGCATTCTTCATTGCATAATTACACTTCGTTTCTTCAATATACATACTGACCTGTACAATCTATATCCCAGCCTATTCTGCGGTCACAATATCACATGTTTTGTATAAACCATAGATGATCTTGCATAAACCTGTCATAGTGCTTATGCTAAGCCGTTGAGAATTAATCAAGTCAGACAATGTTTTAATTATGTGTGAAATCCTAGCAAGAATCCAAGATCTATATCAACACTTTGCTTGTCACATGCTTTGCTAGGCGGTAGCATGATCACTGGGGATTCCAACATATGGTATCACACAAAACGTATATCATTGCACGATACACATTTCTTATTCATTTGATATTTCCTGCAAGTGTGTGCCTGGAGAGCATGATCGCAGAAAATGACTGAGCCTTGACTTATAGAAAATTGAAATGTGTATATGAATACCGTAGAGTTAATGCACGAGCCGTGAAAAGAGTGCAGGGGGAGAGGGAGGGAGGAATTGAGGGAGAAGAGAGGAAAAAGAGGGAAGAAAGGATAAGGAGGGAGGAAAGGGAGGCAGACAAAGGGAGAGCGAGAGAGAGAGTAAAGATTTAGGTGTATATAATACAATAACCAAAAATATTTTACGAATACACAGAAATGGCATAATTACAATAATAGTGATAAAAGAAATGAGTTAGTAAAATTATAATGATGAATTTAATAACGATGATGTGATGATGATAATTGTGGTGGTGATGGAGGGAATGAGGGCGATGTAATAAATAAAACTAATAAAAACGATAATTATGATAAGAATTGTAATGATCATGAAAAAGAAAATAATAGTAATAATAGTGATTGTAATTACAATAACAACACTTATCATTGTTGTTTTTATCATCATTATGACCATCATCATTGTCACACCCCTATTATCACAACAGCCAAAGAAACATTAATATCATTCACATCGTGACGTTTTCCTATGGCAATCAGGTCAGCAGAGATCTTCAGGTCAGCCGCAAGGAGTCAAGAGCAAGGTCGGAGGTCGGAGGTCAGAGGTCAGCCAGCAAGATGACCCTGCGCGCCCTACCCTTCCAGTTCCTCAACCTGGGCGGTGAAATGATGTACATCATCGACCACAGACTCAGGGCGCAGAACATCCCTACGGACAGGGCCAATAAAGGTGAGTTTTGCATAAGAGCGTGGGTCTAAAAAGAGCTTTATGACTCACCCCTTTCGGGAAGGTGAGCGCGCCTGATTAAGTTGGGAGGTCGATAAGGGTGTGTTTACCGTGGCCGTGTCCCAGTAGGGAGGGTCATTAGACACACACACACACACACACACACACACACACACACACACACACACACACACACACACACACACACACACACACACACACACACACACACACACACCACACACACACACACACACACACACACACACACACACACACACACACACACACGCACACACCACACACACACACACACACACACACACACACACACACACACACACACACACACACACACACACACACACACACACACACACACACACACACACACACACACACACACACACACACACGCACGCACGGCATAAGTATGTGTGCTTGCAGGTATGTATGTATGTATCTGTGTGCGTAAAATAAAATAGTCTTTCTTCACAGTGCAAGAGATGTATTTGCCCGGTTTCGATCACATCCTCGTGAGAAATACTGTGTATTTGATTTTCATTCTTATCCATACATCTCTACTACATTTCCTCTTCCTCTTCCTTCTTCTCCTCTCCTCCTTCCTCTCTTCTTCCTCCCCTCCCTTCATCTTCTCCTCCTCCTCCTTCTCCACCTTCTCTTACCCTTTCCCCTCTTCTCCTCCTCCTTCACCTTCTTCTTCTTCTTCTTCTTCTCTTCTCTTCTTCCTCCTCTCCTTTTTTCTTACTCCTTCCCTCCTCCTCCTTATTTTTATTATTATTCTTTCCTCTTCTTCTTCTCCCTCTTCCTCCTCCTCCTCTTCTCCCTCTTCCCTCTTTCTTCTTCTTCTTCTTCTTCTCTCCTCCTCCTCCTTCTCCTTCTTCTCCCTCTTCCTCCTCCTCTTCTTCTTCTTCTCCCTCCTCCTCCTCTTCTTCTTCTTCTCTTCTTCTTCTCCTTCTCTCCTTCTCCTCCTTCTCCTCCTCTCCTCTTCCTCCTCCTTCCTCCCCCTCCTTCTCCTCCTCCTCCTTCTCCTCCTCCTTCTCCTTCTCCTTCTCCTTCTCCTTCTCCTTCTCCTTCTCCTCCTTCTCCTTCTCCTTCTCCCTCCCTCCTCCTCCTCCTCCTCCTCTCCTCCTCCTCCTTCCTCCTCCTCCTCCCCCTCCTCCTCTTGACGTTCCACGCACGACTCCCTCACCGGGCGACACGAATGCAATGGGTATAACCAGTAGAATCAGGATATAAATACGCAACAGAAAACAAAAATAAATGAGAACTGAATCAGGTTGAATAAAGAAGGTCAAGCAATCCAGGGAAAATATTACCCGTTAATGTGATAAGATGATTCAGAATCGAACGTATTCTTGAACGAGAGACAATGGCAATTTCCCTTCGTAAAAATAAAATAAAAAAATAAAAAAAAAAAAAAAAACGATAAATCAATCTAACGTGTATTTTTCCCCGACTTCGTACCAAAATAAAACATCAATATCTCCTTTTAACGCCAATGTTCATTTTTTCATGATTTCTTTATCGAATAAGCAATCAATATCATCGACATAAAACAATAGAGAGTAGAACCCAATGGTAATAGACCGATGAAAATTTGTCAAATTGTCCGAGGCCTGACCCAGTAAATATGCACATATACGGACATGTTTTCACACAGAAATAGAGGCATATCTATCTATCTGACAGGTATACATCTATCTATCAGGGAGGAATGCATGTTTAGACTGATAGATATGCATTTATTTCTGTGTATATATGCAGGTCCGTTTTGTGAATATCTATTGGGTCGGGAATCGAACAATTTTAACAAACCGGCCGCTAAACAAGAGCTTTTTACACAAGGCGTTAGGGCAAGCAAAGCAAAATCGATGCTTGCTTTTTTTCAAAACAGGTTGCGTTTCTCATCAAGCGACGGGATGTAACGGGCAAGTTCCTGGAAATAGGCTTGACATATCCTTCCATGCGTCGCGGGTGAACGATTTTGCTTTAGCAGATGGACGCGCCTTAAAGGGGGGTTTAAGATCTTAGCGGGAGTCTTGAAGGTGATGCGGAGGTCGGATGCATCTCGAGTTTCCATTTCGGATTTTGGCATTTGATGAGGAGTCTCGTCTGGATTAGTTTCGTATTTCTTTCTTTTTAGTGGAGCTCCGTTCCATTTAATTTTCGCATCTACATTGCTATGTCTGTATATGTATATATACATATACAGTGTGTGTGAGTGTGTGAATGAGTGAGTGTGTGTGTGTGTGTGTGTGTGTGTGTGTGTGTGTGTGTGTGTGTGTGTGTGTGTGTGTGAGTGTGTGTGTGTGTGTGTGTGTGTGTGTGTGTGTGTGTGTGTGTGTGTGTGTGTGTGTGTGTGTGTGTGTGTGTGCTGTGTGTGTGTATGCGTGTGTGTGTGTGTGTGTGTAGATCAGACAACATATAAATGGGTGAGAAAAAAACGCATCACCATGTTGATACAAGGGCGATATGTACAGACTGTTTTCTCTTAAACAACAGTTATCAGTTTCAGAACAGCTACAGTGTGTGTAATTTACAGCAGCGAAATATAAATTATATCTTTTGTCTGGTTCTAACTGACACCAAATTTGAACCACATATTAATTTTCTTAGTTATCATGCTTATTCCTTTTGCAGATTCATAAATCGTTTGGCCAGTCTTGAAAATCAGGACTGCATGATTGCACGGTCGATCATAAATTTCCGAGAACAAATTTCATCTGATGACATACATGAATTGAATCGATGCGTCTATGCAATCCTGATAAAATTGTCATTTTTCTCCTGATCTCTCCCTGATACATTAAAGATTACGAAGCGAACCACAGACGTTATAAGGAAATTAAGCTAATACGTAAACATCATTCACAATAACATTCCTGAATAACGAACGGGACTGGACGCCTTAGTGTCAAACAGCACGCAGGTCTCCACGCGAACGCTCGATCACGCATGCACATGAATCCGCCTGTCACGAACGCAGTGGTATCTATGTCTGTCCCTCTTTGCAATAATATTACATAATAAGATTATTTTTCTTCGGATGTATCAAAGATTTTGTTTATTCTATTTAATTATTTATTTTGCCTTTTCGTTTTCCAAGTAAATTAGTATAATTTTCATAACCCGTTGTTGTATTGTTAACATTTTTATTTTCTTAACATTTATTTTGCATGAAGTTTTTCTCTCTAAGAAGTCAGTGGCCATTAATCTAACTGACACGTAAAATGAAAAGATAATAACAGGCTAGGTAATTTGCGGGCCAATTTTACAACCTTGAGAAGAAAAAATAAATACTGAGAATGAACAAAGATTGTTTTTTTTAATAGAACGTCTTTGTCTGTTTCTTGTCTTTCAGTTTTATTATGTGTTCTTTGCTTCTTTTTTCCCAAGTGTCTCTTTCTTTATTTCCCTTTTATTATGTTTTTTGCTTTCTTTCCCAAGTGGTTTTTTATTTCCCTTTTTTCTCATTTTCTTCTGGGTTTCTCTCCTTCTCTTTCTATCTTACTCACTCTCCCTCCTCTCTCTCTCTCTCCTCTCCTCTCTCTCTCTCTCTCTCTCCTCTCTCTCCTCCTCCCTCCCTCTCTCTCTCTCTCCTCTCCCTCTCTCTCTCTCTCTCTCTCTCTCTCTCTCTCTCTCTCTCTCTCTCTCTCTCTCTCTCTCTCTCTCTCTCTCTCTCTCTTCAATTTTTCTATTATCCTTCTTCCCATTTTCCTTCACTCCATGATCACCATATATACACCTGTTCGTCCTATCTTTTCACTTATATTTTCCTCTTCCTTTCTCCAACTATTTCTTGCCACTATTTTCTGTTCATTTGCCTTCTTAACATTTCCGTTTCCTTCTCTTACTCCTTTCCCGTCAATTTATTTCTTTTTTCCGCTATTATCCCCTCTTCTTGCTCCTTCCTCTCTTTATTTCTTTTCTTCATTTATTTTCTTTCCTTCTCCCTCATTTATTTTCTTTCACCCTTTTATTTATTTTCTTCTCCCTCATTTATTTTCTTTCCTTCCTCATTTATTTTCTTTCTTTCTCTCACATTTGTTTTCCATCCTTCTCCCACATTTATTTTCTCTATTTCTCCTTTATTTGTTTTCTTTTCTTTCCTTCCCCTCATTTATTTTCTCCCTTTCTCCCACTTTACTGTCTCTATTTCTCCCTCATTTATTTTCCTTATTTTTTTCCCCTTCCTCACCTTCTTTTCTCTCCCTCATTTATTTTCTCCATTTCTCCCACTTTACTTTCTCTATTTCTCCCTCATTTATTTTCTTTTTTTTTCCCCTTCCTCACCTTCTTTTCTCTCCCTCATTTATTTCTCCTTTCTCCACTTTATTTCTCTATTTCTCCCTCTTATTTTCTTTTTTTTTTCCCCTTCCTCACTTCTACAATTTCTTCTCTCGACTCTCCTCCTCTTTGTTTTTCCCCTACGTTATATTCTCATTCACCCCCCGCCCCCGCCCCTTTGTTAACCCTCTCCCTCATTTCTTTTCCTTGAATATTTTCTCCTCCTCTTCCTCTTCTCCTCCCTCTTGTTCTTCTTCTTCCTCCTCTTCCCTCGCTTGTTCTCTTCTTCCTCGCTTTCTCCCTCGCTTCCTCCTTCACCATTTCCCTCCCTCCTTCTCACCCTCATTCACCATCTCCCTCCCTCCCTCTCACCCTCATTCACCATCTCCCTTCCTCCCTCTCACCCCTCATTCACCATCTCCCCACTCCTTCTCCCTCCCTCCCTCCCTTCTATGCCTCTCCCGCTCCACTCCCACCTCCCCTCCCTCTCCCTCCCATATCACCATCTCCCTCCCTTCTTCCCTCCCTCATTACCAATCTCCTCCTCTATCTCCCTCCCCCTATCCCTCTCCCTCCCTCCCCTTTCTCCTCCCTCA